TCCGTGCCCTGATCGGGGGCGTCCAGTTGTTCTCCTGCCTGATGGGCCCTCGTCGCGCAGCGCTATAAAGAGGAAGTGGGGGCCGGGACGCATGGTACGAGGTTCACCGTAGCCGCCAGCGTCCCACCGAGGTTCCTAGCCCTAGTCTGATCTAGAAGGGCGCGCGGTAAGCGACGGAAAGTCCACACCGCCTTCACCGTCGCCATTGGTCCGCCCCTACGCTACTGCTACCGTCGACGACCTAACGGACGCCTGCACGGCTCCCCCTACACCGACACGTCGCGGCCACCTTGTTGGCGGCGCCATGGCCGCGACTATACATCGACAAGGTATTATTTAAGTCAAGTTTTACCTATTGATCTACGCCTAGATGATACTATAAATCATATCAGCACGCTGACCCCAAGGGCCACCCCGCTTCACGCGAGACGCGTTGCCTGCACGCCAAGCAGTGGCGCTGACTGCAGGCTCGTGTCGAGCTCCAGAACAAGGAGCTCGAACGTGAGCACATCATGGTCCTAATGCCGTCATCGCCGCCGAGTGGGGGGCATCAGCCGGAACGAGGTGGCGTACGTCAGCCGGAACGAGGTGGCGTACGTCAGCGTCGCACTCCGCGGCAACGAACCTGACGCCGTCATCGCTGCCGCCACCGGTGGAGCAACACGTACAGATGGCGACATCGCCGGTGTCTGCGAGGTAGTGGAGCTTGCCGACGAGTGGGGGGCGTGGGTGGCCAGGTACGGCGAGGGAGGATGGGAGGGACTGGAGGATGGCGTCTAAGGGTGGCAGATGGGTCGCCCTCGAAGAGCAGGAGGTGTTGCAGCAGCGGAACCAGAACCCACTGCGCCTCCATGGTGTCGAGCTTGATGCTAGGCTCGGACGGCAGCGCGCCAGTCGTCGCAGCGACGTAGCCATGTAGGTGATGTCGGTGACTTTCAAAACCGGAGCCATGGGTTCTGGGCGGTGCCTGACTGCCTGAGCAAGAACTGTGCCGGATTAGAACCTTGTGTAGCTTAGGTGCTCAGCACCGTTTGTTGGTGTTTGCTTGCCCTTGAGTGTGTGGAAGTTGTAGAAGATCGAAAGCGTAGCTGATACCAGAAGCCAATCATGAGTGACAGAATCCTGACTCCAACTCCATGAGTGCGAATGGATCAATCAATGGCCCAATTAATCAAATCAAATAATTAAATAATATAAAAAATAAAGTTATATATATTTACAAGTAAATATTTTTTTTTTTACTTTGGAACGGGAGAAATTTTTATCGATATTGTATTTTATTTTGATACAGCTAAGTAGGACATCTCCTACAACTAAAAAGAACAAAGTGTGGATATTTTTTGGTGCGATATTTGTTTTACTTCGTCCGTATGCCCACGCCTGCGTTTCCACGACATCTCCTTGATTGAATATTGCCTGTCATGTGATAGAGGAATCACGATAAAATAGGAAGTAGAAAATTATTGTGCTATCCATATACACATTGCATGTTTACATGCACCAGCATACATGGCAACGAGCAAAAGGAAAGAAAATTAACACAGAAGAAAAGAGAATTAAGACAAAAGAAACATCTTTGCATTTATGAGAACTTTGCCAAATCTGCCTACATTTAATTAATTTTCCTCTTTGCATTTGCAAAAGGGACAGCTTTTTCCTCCTTTTATTTGGTTTCACGCTCACGTGTTCCATCTGCCTCGGTCTCCTCCCTGCTCGTCGCTCCCCTTGAGATCGTGGCATCGCTCCCCTCCCCTCCGTGACTCCCCGCTTGGCTGTGCTGCACGCCTTTGACCACCGTGAGGCGGCGCGGCGTCCACGGTGCTGGAGGGCCGGATCGAGGGCACCGTGGTGCTGGTGAAGAAGGACGCGCTCAGCTTGGGCCACTTCCAGGAGTCGCTCCTCGACAGCATCCACCATATCCTCGGCCAGGACACCGGGCTCGCCTTCCAGCTCATCAGCGCCACCAAAGCCGACCACCGTGAGGTGGCACGGCGCGCCGGTGCTGGAGGCGGCGCACGCGTTCGTGCGCGGCATCCCGACGGCGTAGGTGGTCAACCAGGGTATGCCCACCCCTTCCCTGCTCTCCCTTCTGTGCGAAAAAGCGAACACCTAAGTGGGGAATGTAACACGGGCAACATGTTCGATAAAATATGTCTCCATGCTAGCAAACCTTGGTGGCTGTGTCCTCGTAGATGGACCTGCGTCGAGAAGGAGAAGGACCTACGTCGAGAATTTTTAGCACATGTGATTTTTAGCAAGTAGTACCATAAAGGGTCTCCAGAGATTAATCAGTCTCATGCTGCATGTTCCATCTGATTGCACAATTACTCTCATAATTTTAGCATAGAATATATACTCAAGGGGGCAATGAGGAAACTAAAAGTCGGTGTGAGATTCAAAATCAAACCTACTATGCTTTTATATAATATATTCATGCTGCTCTTTCTCTGTCATTTTTAAATGCTAATTGTTTCTCCATAATATAGACTGTTTTTATACATCACTCATGGGATGCTCTATGAGTTGTATGTAAATTGGACAATTGCTGAAAGAGTCTGATAAATAATCTGGACATCAGAATACCATTTCATCATTGTCAAAATTTATTTCGTTACTGGCTCCTTGTTAAAGCTGCTAAGGTTAGTATTTGTTCAAGTTGACTGTCATGAAGATATTTATAGTTTCCTCACAATCAATTTTCCATGTCTAGCTACGGGTTACAAGAATGCTAAGCCTGTGGGGCATGCTTTGTTGTTGTCAAACCAGCCTTTCTAATTGTCAGTTTTGCTGAAAATTTTATGGTCATCTAATATTAAAAAACAGAAAATATGTAAATCTAACTACTTGTGTAACGTCTTACTTGAAGTTTATTACTGTGTAAACCCACCCTCTAACCCTTCTTCATCAGGAATATGAATGACAAAACGTGAGTTTACTCCCGCTTTTATTACTTGGTGTATGTCATCATGGGTATTTATCGATTCTTCAGTTTGGTTGCTGCGACGATTCATATCAATTTTAGATAGCTGCACTGTCAGGTTTAGTGTATGCTATCATGACTATCCATGCATTCTCCAGTTTGGGTGCTGTGAAGATTCATCATATCTGCAACCAGCAATTCAGTGCACTTAGGAATTCTTGTGTTTTTCTTTTCCAATTAGCCATTCACGACCAGACCTGAGATGAAAAGATGCAAAAATTAATTCAGTTATTATTAGGCTTTTTTAGTGCCTGTTTTTGTTGATATGCTTAGATTAGGTTCTTATATATAAATTTTGAATGCTTAATTTCAGGAACAACTGAAGGAATGACGCAAGATGCTGATGGGGTTTCGGATGCAGTTCAATAAATAAAAGGAAGACCAGATGTTGTATTAATTTCAGGAACAACCTACGTCTAGATGTTGTTGATATTAGGTAGCGTCAATGGAACTTTTTAGCTTGATGGGATTTGAGGAACAGCATCGCAAGGTGTTACATAATTAGCAATTGATATTAGGACCTAAAAATAATTGACCATTCAGGTAGTCAATAAGATCCTGAATGGGCACGATAGGAGGCGGTGCCCATTCAGTTAGTAAATAGTTTTAGCATATGTGTCTCTAATGGTACTTATTTTGTATCATGAATATCAATATTTTCTAATACAAACTTAGTCAAAGTACATTTTTTTAGACGGATGGAGTATTTCACTCTTTCTAACGTCAATGGAACTTTTTATCAACTCTCTCATGGACAAGTTTGATAATACGAATTTATTGGTTAATTTTGTGTTCAGTGAAATCACAATAGAACGTATGCAAAATAAAGAAGGTCGTGCACTATTTGAAGACTTGACAAATATCATCAATGGAGGTAATTATTTATACTCAGATCCATAGACGCATTCACTTATATTATTTATGGTAATTAAGCAAATATTTATCAACTTATTTTCAAACAGGTAACCATACAACATCAAATTCACAAGCGCAAATAGATGAACGTGCGCAGCGTAAAAGAAGAAGAGAAAAAGCACGACATGCATCAATGACTCAAGAAGAAAGGGATGAAAAAAATAAAAAAAACTTAGGAAAAAGTATCATCAGACAAAGGAAAACACGGATGTCTAAACATTTCAATGAAAGCTTCAGTGGAATAAGTGTATCCAAGTACAAGGAGAACAAAATCTACATGTCTGAGCCATTATATGGGGATCCATACAACTTGGTCCATCGACTGGAGATCATTGATATTGCTACCGGCGCATCCGAAGTGAAGCCCGTCCAGGAAAAGATGCAGGGTCCGAAGCTCTAGGTTGGATTCGACCCAATCTCTGGAAGCTCTAGAGTTTGTGAGCCCGCGACGCCGCGTACTCCGTGACTGTGTTAAATTCATAAACTTTGCCTTTTGGATTAAATGTCACTTTAACGTTGGTATTTAATTTAACAGTATTGTTATCTTATCGTGCGATCCGTGTGCTTTTAGTATAAATTGTTAGTTATCCCGTAGCAACACACGGGCACACTACCTAGTTATCATATAATTGCCTGGGATGTCATGGTCATTATAAATAAGTTATAGCTTTTAAATTTTATAAAAATAGTTAAACATAAATAGATATATAGTATTTTGTTGTCGTTTCTACGAATGTTTAATTTTTCTTCTGTTGCAACGCACATGCCTATTTGTTAATCTATATCCAAAATTAAAGAGTGGAAGATTTGTTCCAATCGTCTTTATTTGCTTCCCAAAATAGCTCTGCATCCTCCGTGCCCCTATGTGACCCAGACCCGCTCATACGATTTAGAACGACTCATGTCTAGTGGGTGGTGGTACCAAATCCTGTTTAAGACGTATGAGTTTCGTATATATGCTTCAGTGTAAGGCATGTTTGCTGGTAATTAATAACAACTCTTCCGATGCCTCAGAAACAATTATGCACGGAGTGAATTAGTAACGCTTACTAGAGTGAACCCCTTCACATTATCCCTGTTGATCGGAACCTCGAGGTTGGGGTCGTCAGTCAGCGAGCTCCAAAAGCACGTCCATCATGTCCATGGCAAAGAAACCCTGGCCCTCTCGCCGCCGGCGCTCGTTGTGCTCATCCAGCACGTGCTCCAGGAACAGGTCCAACATCTTGGCCGACCTCTTCATCCCCTTGATGTACCCCTGCGGGTCCAGGCAGCTGAGCCACGGGATCATGTCCGCGATGTTGAGCACGCCGTTGAGAAAGAAATGCTCGTCGATCAACCACCTGAACTCCTCAGGTGTCGCCGGCGAGCCATATCCGTCGACGATGTACTTCTTGCCTAGCAGCATGCGCGAGATCACGTTGAGATTCACCATGTAGAGGTGCTCCTTGAGCGCCACCACGTGGCCGCTAGAACAACCGGCCGCCGACGATGATGACGGCGACGACGCCGCGGCGTGCAGATCTCTCACCATGGCGCGCACCTCCTCGCTGCGGACGTGCTCGAGCGACGTGAGCCGCCTCGCGTTGTTGAAGAGCTCGGCCTGGCAGAGCCTGCGCCCCTGACGCCAGTACGCGCAGTAGGGCTAGTAGAACAGGCCAGCACAGTTGTAGGTAGTGTACTTGCCGGCCGCCGTCTGAGGACGGTCGATGAACGCCAGGTCGTGGGTCTTGAGGAAGAGCCTCGCCATGTCGACCGACGACCCGACGACGACGGGGAAGGAGCCGAACCGCAGGGACATGAGCGGGCCATACCTCTTGGAGAGCTCGTGGACGGAGTGGTGAGGCAGCGGGCCGATCAGGTTCAGGTTCAGGTTGCCGATCACCGGCCACGGCCGGGGGCCCGGTGGGAGCCTGTACTTGCGCGTGGAGGCGGGCGGAGCCGGAGAATGGTTACGACGAAGAGAGCGGCGCCAGCCACTACGACGGCGAGGAAGGACGCCCACGACGGTGCTAGCTCCATGGGGACTTAGGACGTAGGGGTGAGCCTTTTTTTTTCACCCGGCCCTCTGGACTCTGGAGCCAACAGCCAAGTGATTATTGGTGATGGGCATATGTGAGCTGATCTATCGGATATTCGGGAAAATATTGGGTGTAAACCGCTCTCTCGGTGCAATTATAAAAATCCTTCCAAAAAAAACCTATTTAGAGGTTTTCAAAAATTATGAAACGATGCATATCCATAGTTCATCCATAGATGTACATTGTAGCAAAAGTTGAGAAACAAAACCAATCTAGAAAAACTCATAGGAATGACAAATATCATGTGCATTTGCACTAAATGACAAATTCCTAGAAATTTTGTCTTCTAGTGCACTTGCACCTAAAGTTTGTCATTTTTGTGTGGATTTTTACACAATAAATTTGCCTCCCCAAGGTATATCTATGGATGAATTATGGATATGCATCATTTCATAATTTTTGGAAACCTCTAGGTAGGTTTTTTGAAGGGTTTTCATGATTATATCGAGAGGGTGGTTTGTACCCAATATTTTCCCCAGATATTCAGAGCAGCGCTATCGTTGTTAATCCTTGTAGGTGTTGTGCACGTCCATCATTAGTACACTACAGTGTCCTGGATTTCGATCCCTTGTTTATTAACTATACTTTTATTCATCTTAATCTAAATATGTTGGGATGGATGTCCGGAGGGACTGGAGAAGTGGAGAAACACAGATTGAGGTGATACAGACTACAACCAAACAAGCTCTACCTTGAAGCAACTGCAGCTGGCCGACAAGATGGTGTATTAGTCAAGGACTACACAGACGCATGCATCGCGCATGCCTTATGTTCAGAGATGGAGACAGGCAGACAGCGAGACAGAGACAGATGCATCATCAGGGACCTGCGCGTAGAGGTGTGCGGTGTGCCGGCAGCTTGGGCTCGGCGACGGCCTCGATCGAGGGGGATGTGCGCTTTGCGGAACGGCCAGTCCAAATTTTCCTAACGCCTCCACGCGAAGGTGTGCTTGGGCCACACATGCATCAACTTCAGGAAGTTTTTTAGGCTCGAGAATGCATCGGGTGTGGACCCAGAGCCGTACCCCAAAAAAAAAACTAGGCACAAAATGAGGCCCTACTTTAGGAAAACACAAATAACCAAAGTATAGAACGGCATGTTTCTTTTGTAATATAAAGAAATACAACAAGCCTCCATGTAAAAAGGGGCCTCCAAAACTTTCTGCACAACTGTTCCGATCCCGGGGCATCGGAATCCTCCGGTGATGGTACCGGAGTGATCACCAGAGTTGCGTTCCAGAGAGCGTAGGGTGTTTCCTATGCGCGCACGGAGATAGAGCTCACTGGAACCCTCCGGTGGTCAGTGGTCACTAGAGATGAGGCACCGGAGCTTCGATCACTGAAAACGGCTAGTTCTGACATGCGTCAATGACCGTTGGGAGAGCTCTGGTGGTAAGCTCCGATGAGGGCGAGAACACATAATCACTGTCAAAGCATCACAACCGGGTGTGCCAGAGCCGACAGTGATTACTACATTGTTGGGTGGTAAAGCGAGGATTCAAAAAATTGGTGGGAGGCTAATTTCTAGATAGTGATGGCGTCTATCACTACCGGCTAAAATCACCACCCGGCAGTGATGAGCTCATTTCTTCAAACCAGCAGTGATATATTTCTGCCGGGTCAAGCCACTCTTTGGCATCGGCATTTGCATATCATTGCTGGTTTTCTTTCTAACCTCGCCAATATTATTTCCGTCCATTGGATCCACTCCCTCTGTCCCTAAATAAATAGATTCCTAGAGTTGTTTTAAGTTAAATTTTTAAAATTTTGACCGAATTTCTAGAAAAAATATATCAAGATTTATGATATCAAACTAGTATCATTAGATGTACCATAGAATATATTTTCATAATGTGCTCATTTTATGTCATAGATGTGGTTATTCTTTTCTATAAAGTTAGTAAACATGAAAAAGTTTGACTGACATGAATTCTAGAAATTGATTTATTTGAGGACAGAGGAAGTACCTAACTATCATATCATTGATTCTCCACCATTGAACTAGGAGACATCTCGAGTTCTTGACCCTTTAAGCCTCAACAGGGAGTAGATAGTTGGCAAGCCACCGAACCTCTCAGGAGAGAAATCGCGTCTCTCCCTCCTTTGTGGTTTGCATTCCTTACACTAGCCCTTTACATTTTATCTATTGCTAGTGTAGTTGCTTTTGCTAGCGTAAGCTTGTTGTTTACTTTTTTTTATCACTAGTATGAGTAATAGGGTCTTGTGCTTAGCCTTGTTTTTTTTTGTCGTGAAATCATTTGCGATGCGGTTGATGTTCCGACGATATAAATATATTTACACTAATGATCGGTATAAGGGTGCCGCCAATGAAGATGTGTTTGTACTGGCGATTTTAAAACTGATGCTAGCGGAAATTCTCTATTTTCATTCACCCTTCACATTGGCAATTCAAACCACCATCAGTGAAAATAAAATATACCGTCAATAAAAAATGATTTCTGTACTTAGTGTAGTATACACGTTACACGAAGAAGGTCGTCTGAACTTTATTTATTTCCTACTAGCGCTTCAACGATATAAATATGTACCACTCATCCTCGGTAAACACCTATGCACAAAGGCCACAAGCAAAGTAGGCGGTGCATTTGTTCATTTATGTCACGGCAATAGTGCTCTGGCAGTTGGTGTTGTGGCGAGGATGAGGTGGTGTGTGGATAGTGCTGGTTTGAAGCGGGGAGAGTGATTGGGCCAGGTAGGCGGCCAGCTGTGGATTCTTTGCTGGAAGGTGGGGACGCTGAGCAGCGAGGCCGGTACAGGGGCCAGGGAGGGGATACGATCATATGATGCAGTGGCACGTGTTGTTGTTGTTGTTTTCCCGATTTCCTTTGGCTGGTGACAAGTGGAAAATTCATGTCCACACACAAGAGTGCTCTTGGCTGAGCTCAATCCTCTGGGAGGAGGACGCGATAAACGATTGTATGCTCACCCGATTAGGCTAACAATCACCTATATATGGCTATATATGTAGAACCAAGTATATAGCCAACAATGCCTTTGTTATGAAAATGAAAATGCCTTTGTTCACTCGATGTCACGTACGGCAACAATGGTAGGACCAACCAGGAGCATGTTCGTTTCGGCTGAATTGGCTTATAAATCATGACTAAAAGTACTGCTGGCTAATTTAGTGTGAGAGAAAAACACTGTTGGCTGACTGATAATCCAAGGCTTATAAGCCGGATACATGCTGCCGAACAAGCTTTAGATTCATTCATCATGGCTATCATAATCATAGGCCCCGTTTCGCATGCCCTTAAATCTGACTTGATTCGCTTATTTTTTTCATCTGGAACAGTATTTTTCTTTCACAAATTCCTCTAGCATTCCTCCAAACCATCCAAATTCCTCCAAAATTCAGACAAGCGAGCAGGCCCATGCTTAAGCATCAATGCCAATCCTTATGGACATATGTTACACCACCAAGAGGCAAGCCTCTCGCTCGCTACCAATGCGCACGTCACACTCACACCATCGTCTCCTTGCCCGCCGCCGTCGCGTCGTCGTCGTCCACCCACGTGGCGTGCCACAGCGGCGACCGCCTCCGGGGCAGCATGGACCCGACGCAGCTGGCGAGCGTGGCGCGGAACTTGGCGTCCCCGGGGCGGAGCATGGCGGGGAGCGGCAGCCTGACCCCGGAGGCGGCGCACGCCTCGTGGCGCGGCACGATGCGCGCGGCCAGCGCGTAGGAGAAGTACTCGGGGAAGTCGACCAGCTCGTCGGCGCGGCGGGCCATGGCGCCCAGGAGGTACTCCGCCTTGGGCCGCATGTTCCCGTCCACGCCGTAGGCGAAGAGCGCCGGGAAGCGGCGCGCCATGGAGCGCGCGGCGCGGGCCGGAAGGCCCAGCGACTCGAGGAACTCGATCCGCGGCAGCAGCTTGTCCTCCACGGAGAAAGACAGCAGGTCGGCGCGGCGGTGCAGGTCCGGAACGCCGAGCGCGCGCAGGAAGTAGAGCGTGGGCCGCAGCCGCGCCGCGACGGGGGACACGAGCAGGCGCGGGCGCCGCCGCAGCACGCGCGGGAGGTCGGACGCCGGGACGCCCGCCTCCTCCGTCAGGAACCGGAGCGCGGCCTCGATGGCCTCCGCGGGCACGGACAGCAGCTCCGGGCACATCCCCGCCGCGCGCCGGAGGTCCGCGGGCGGCACGCCAGCCTCCAGCAGCACCGCCGCGGCGCCTGCGGACACGGGCGGCGACGGCAGCACGGGCTCCGCCGCCGGCGCCGGGGGCGGCGGGCCCGGGACCGCTAGTCTGGTGGTGGGCCTGGTCCGCAGCGCGACGGCGACGACGCGTAGCCTGCTGCTGCGGCTCGGCGCCACCGGCCTGGGACCAGAATCCAAGCCCTCGTACCCTAACAGGACCAGGGCGGTGCGGGTGCCGGCCATAGTCACCATCGCTCGCAAGCTTTTCCCTCCTTTTTTGTATGTATGATGATGAGGCGTCGTGGGATCGAGGAAGAGGATAAGGCTGTGATGGATCAGGTAGAACCACCACACGCGTAGGGAGCTCGAGAAATGTCTAAGGCTGCATTGCATTGCATGGACAACAGCTCGGAACAGAGCCCTGGTCCCGACACTATGAACCGATAGTGTGCAGGATTTCAGATCCTCACGTGGCGCAACCCGGTTGGCCGGTGGGATGGTGCTTTAGCCTTTATACCCATGATGTACGACAATAAGGACAAAACACAAACAGACAAACAATGTAACCGGGACATGAATGAAACACGGTGGGCCTGTTTGGTTAGTTGGCGAACCTCCAACCAGGCTCCAGGAAATCAATTTTCAAAGGCAGGCCGAGCTAACCCACTTCCGGAAAAACGAGATGGGGATCCGTTTTTCGCTGGCCAGACTTGGCTAAGCTCGTGTGTGAGTTCCCTCACCGCTCAGTGGTCTCCTCTGCTCCTCCTCACCGCTTAACCCGCCCGCCGGAGCTCGAGCAGAGATGCTGGCCGTGCCGCGCCCGTGGCTGGCCTCCTCGTGAACCTCTTCTTGGTCAGCAGACCGCCGCCACCACCACCACGCCGGAGCCGAGGCCACCGAGGGAGCGCTCCAGCCGCGGCAGCAGCGGGCGACGGACAGCGATTCGATCGGGATCCGTCCATGGCGATTCGCCAGGGGCACGAATCGCTCCCTCTGGCGTCGCTCCTGTGCCTCTGCCTCGGTTCCGTGCCGACCATTGCCGCCTGCTCCCCAGGCGTCGCCCGCGAGGTGCTCAAGACCCACGAGGCCGCGTTCCTGGACCGCCCCAAGCCCACGGCGGTGCATCGCCTGACGTACGTGAAGTAGGCCATGCAAGCTCCCACCACGCCGCCGCCGTAGTTCATCGCGTTGGTCGTCCCTCTGCCTCATCCTCCACACTCGTCGGCTCCTCTGCATGCTGGGCAGGTGGGGAGGTTCATGTGCCCATCCGTTGCACACGCTCGTGGAGGGGAGCTAGCACCCCCTATCCCGTAAGAATCCATGGAAGATTGTGCATTCTTGGCTTGCTTAGCTTGTACGTTCTTGGCTTGCTTGTGTTTGGTGGATCTGAATCACCATTCTGATTTGCTCACCACTTCCGATCCCTCTCCTATTCGAAGAGGTGCCCACCACTCTAATTTGCCCGAGGAAGCGCCGGAGCTGACCGCCGGCGAGAGTGCCCACCATCTGTTTGATGATATGTTTCAAAGGGGGTAATCTTACCAGCCCAAAGACAAGGTGATTCTATGCAACATAAAGCAGGCAACCAAACATATCATGAGGCTAGCCAGGCTAACACAGTATAAACAACCAAACAATCAGGGGTTGACTTGATGGGAGTAGTCTAAGGCTGCCCAGGCTAGAATTCTATGTAACATCTTCGAAGTTAAAAAAAGTACTTAAAAGGTGATCATGTCATCATTATGCATAATCATCATCCATCAACTCATGAATGCATTTCATGTTTATATTATAGTATGCAAATGTTATTTTATGGAGTGTTTTATATATTACCTGGAATAATGTTAATACCAATGATTATAAAAACTTTGTTATGTATTCACTAAAACAAGTTTACTTTCATGTTATATGTGTTGACTTGTATGGAGTGAATCAATTTCAAAACATTTGTGTTGAATAGGATTTTCGAAAACCCTAATTTCAGTATTTAAGTTTGCCCTGGAAAACCCATTTCAAAATCTAAGCACATTTTGGGGTTGAGCCTAAAAGCAAAAATGTAGAGCTTGTCGAGTTGTACAAAATTGGTTTTTGAAGTTTTCAAAGTTGTTTTATAAAAATTGAAGTAATTTGAAAATGCGTGATTATTTAAATATTCCCTTTTTGAATTCAAATTTTCATTTCGAAATGTAGACCGAATATTTCAAAATTTAAATATTCCCTTTTTGATTCTATAAAAATTGAATTTTGGATTAAGTGATGACTTTGGGTCATTAGTTGATAATGATCCTTGGCAATGGAATGAAGTGTTACGAAAAAGGTTTAGTTAGTTTGACTTTAACTGTACCGTGAAGGAAAGTTGTATTCAAGTGGTTAATTTTGCATCCATCATCGAGCATCATGTTTTATATCTCACATCATGTTAAACATGACATTGTTACTACGTGTAGTGAACGAAGGTGAGCACGTGGTAGTTAATCAAGTTGTGGAAGAAGTTAATCCGTCTGTTGAGGTCGAATTTGATAATTGTGGAACGACTCCGAAACCAGACTTTTCCGTGAATCAAGGCAAGCCCCGGATGCATTTAAACCTACCTTGTGTTTTACAAATTTATATCGCTTTTGCTTTCAAGTACTGCATTAAGTGATTAGGAGTTAAGTGAAAAACCTAATTAGTGCATTACCAACCTTGTTTTTCCATATCTACCTTGTTACCAGTTTTACTTCGTAAATGCCTAGTTATGCTTAGCCATGCTTAGACGGATAAAAGTCGGGTGATTACCTGTCACCTACGAGATTTAAATGAATCTTTGGTTACGCTTGGTTACTTATGTGATCATGAAATATAAGCATGTGGAGTAATAAATCTAGACCGGACGGACTCGATGTGTGAGAGCCACAAGACGTGGAGGTCTTGAGAGCGGGTTCTTTCCGCCTGTGTCGATTAAGGTCCGTCCATTGTTGAACTACATGAGATGAGACTTTGTAGTACTAACCACATACTCCGGTAAGCCTTAACTTGGCGAATCTATTACGAGAATGGCTACTCGCGCACTGGGAGTGGAGAGATGGCGGGAATAGCGTGTACCCACTTGGTAATGGGCTGGATTGGTGGAGTACTGTATTCTCGGGTGGTGCGGACCCGTTCTTGTTTTAGAGGATCTGAGGGTAGGTTGGTATATGTAGGTCGGGGACCTGCATATGTCGTGTGGTCTGGAATTCCCAGCTGGTTTATAATCGGTTCGAATCGTCGTTGCTCCTCGGATATGGAGACTCAACTCTCTGTTTATCATCGTTGTTAATAAATGAAACTTGAGCTGGTTTGAGAAAGTGTTGGATATGAAGTTTCATGATGTCATTACGGATCATGTCAGCTTTGTATATGATCTTTTTGAAGATAAAAATGTTGATATAATGAATCTTGTTAGAGAGCTTTTACGCAAAAGAACTTTGATTATTGCTAAAGCCATACCTTGAATCCCTAAGCCTGCATTCCTGAGTCTTCTCAGTTTTAATTTCGGTTAAGTCTTGTTGAGTACTTTTGTACTCAGGGTTCGTTGACCCTTGTTGCAGGTGAGGCTCATGAGCAGGTCTGCTTTGGACCGTGCTGCATGACTGTTGTTCAATGCGATGATGATAAGTAAATGCGTGGCCCTTGGGCAGGGCAGTTTAATTGTGTGTTTTGTATTATGTTATAATGCCACTCCACTGCTTCGTTTTGTAATAATTATCGAACTTGGTTGTAAGGTTTGAAACTACTGGTTTGTAAATTAAGTTATTATAAGACTTCCGCTATATTACTCTGATGTATATATTTGAATAAACTGTTGTAATACTGCAATGACTCTGTAATGTGATCCTGCTCGGAAATCGTGGATGATTCGGGGTTCTCCGAGGACACCCGATAGTCTTCTTAAGTTACCGGGAATATATGCATAGATGTCAAAGGTCGTTGGACAGTGACAGGTGCATGTGGGCCCTAGAATTTAGGAGGTTCTGCCACATTCTAGCCTGGCTAGAAATTGGCTAGGAAACCAAACACAACCAATATATCTTCTTTACTACTCGCTAATGGCACCAGGGCTTGAGGTGGTACAATGCATTTGGATGGAGGGACCAACTAGGTTAGAGCAGGTTTAATCCACTGAGATGTTTGGATGGGAGGTCTCCAAACCTAGGTCAAACCTAGTAGCGAATATATGGCCTCCTACCTATGTGGGCAGCGTGGCCTCCTTGGGCGGTGGTGGCGGATCTCTTGCGGGCGATGGTGGCAGAGCACGGCGGCACGGGATGACCCGATGACCCTCTGCGTGCGGTGGCGCTGGGTGGGCCTAAGAAGCCTATGCGGGCGGCATGGCCTCCTTGGCACGTTAGTCGTAGATCTGTTGTAGGTGGTGGTGGCGAAGCACAGTGGCGTGGGATGGCTCGAGGGAGTTTTTGCGTGCGATAGCATTGGGTGGCTCGAGTTGTGCTATGCCGGCATGTGAGGGGCAGGACGGGCGGCCGAGCAGCGCGTGGCCAAGCTGAGCTATGCAAGTCAATTGAGCCCAAGGTAGAAGAAGGGGAGTGTGAGGTTAACACATGGACCCTACAAGTTAGTATCTCAACCCACTCCTACAAGGACACCAAACCAAACAAAAAACTAGAATGAACCCAACCTTCTCAACCAAACACGAGACGGGTCCGACCAACACAAAAAACTAGTCAGGTTCAACCTATCCTGTTTGGTCCTAGAACCAAATTACCAATGTAAGGAAAATGGACCCTAGGCTCATTTACTTTGGATTTTGGTGTTTGATGACCAACACAACCAAATTGAATTAATGAATTTGTAAGTAATTGTTTTGTAGTTCAATAGGGTGCGGGACGTGACTTCGACGAAGGCGATATGATGATCTGATGATCAACACCATAAGCAAGACCCTAGAAGCACAATAGAAGACCTAAGAAACCAAGCAAAGTCCAAGCACGAAGATAGGAACCAAGCCAGACGCAAGATCGTGAAGAAACGAGCATGGCAGAGGTGATCGGACGTGACCCTTATGGGGACCGGAAGCGTCCGATCAGTTGCTCGGCAACAGCAAGCGTCAGCAGCAGTGACTAGATGCTGAGCGAGGTAGTGACCGAACGTACGGACTTCACCGTTCATCGTCATGACAACAACTCAGTGAGGACCGAACGCAGTAGTTGTGGATGTCCGGACGCGCCAGGCAATGGCGTCTGATCGAGTCCAGAGAGGTTCCAGACCGGCAAAAC